AATGGATCAGTATTTTGTTTTGATCGATAAAAAAGTTAAATCAATTCCGTTGTGGTTTTTGCCGAAATTTACTGACTCACTGAATATATATATATATATATATATATATATATATATATATATCGCACATTGAATGCTGGTGTGAATAAAATAGTGCTCGATGTACTATAACAGAGATATTAAATATATATGGATGAATATAGATATTAGCTCTCACCGGTTAGACTACTCGGAATTTCATGCACAACGCAATCTTCAGGTGCTGGGTGGAAACTGACCGTTAAAGAATTTAAATTTTAATAAAAACTATCTGGTTAAGGCAAGGCTGGCACAGTCCACATATTATACAGAGATAACGGTTTATTATTTAAAAAAATATATGTTGCATTTAAAATAGACGAGATTTTATTTTATTTTATATACATAAATATATATATTTTATATTTAAACTAAACAGGGATTAATGGCTTTTATATATATAAATATATATATGTGCTTCTGAGGTCTCATCCTGGGTTAAAGCTGGAATCGACACTTTCATCCCCTCAAGGAAATTTAAGGTCAAGTCGCGCTCCTCCCCTTGGTTCTCTGCTGCTTGCTCAGCCGCCATCGCCCATAGGAACCACTTCTTTCACCTATTTCGTAGCGACATGTCGGACTGCAATAGACGTCTCTTTGCCTCCGCCCGTAACGAGTGTAAGCGTGTCCTCAACGAAGCTAAGTCAATATTTGCTGCTCGGATGAAGGAGCGTATTGCATCTCGCAAATTTGGCTCCAAAGATTATTGGCGGCTCTGCAAGAGTGTCCTGAACAATAGAAAACCATCCATACCTCCTTTATTCAACCAGTTCGACGTCTTGACCTCCTCTACCAGCAAGGCTGAATGCTTTGCTCGAAAATTCTCATTTAATTCAACGCTCGACTCCACCGGTGTACCCATACAAGACTTCCCTCCAAGAACTGAGGCCCTATTGAGCGGCCTACACATAACCCCATCATTGGTACTGGGCATTATCTCCAACTTAGACCCCCACAGGGCTAGTGGTGGAGATGGCATACCAGCCACTGTCTTGAAGTAATGCGCTCCTGAGCAAGCGCTCGCCCTCTCTAAACTGTATAATTACTGCCTCAAGGAATCCTGTTTTCCTGAATGCTGGAAGTCCTCATCCATTGTTCCTGTGTTTAAGAACTCTGGAGACCCTTCTGACCCCTATAATTACCGTCCTATTAGTCTCCTACCCCTCTTCGGCAAAGTCTTCGAAGCCCTAATCAATGCCGAAGTGGTTAATCACCTTACATCCCATAATCTGCTCCCAGACAAACAATATGGTTTCCGCTACGCCCGATCTACAGTTGATGTGCTTACGGCCATCACTGAAACCGTCTACCAAGCCCTTCAAAATAACGGTGAGGCTCGTGCCGTGGCCCTAGACATCTCCAAAGCATTTGATAGGGTTTGGCATGCCGGCCTTCTTCGTAGGGTTATGGTATTACAGGTCGATTGTTTGACCTAATACAATAATTCCTGTCAAACCGTGAATTGAAAGTCGTTCTCAACGGATTCTCCTCCAGTTCCTATCCCACGAACGCAGGTGTTCCCCAAGGCTCCATCCTTGGCCCCACTCTTTTCCTTATTTTCATCAATGACCTTCCTGACGCCATAGATTCCCAAATTGGCATCTACGCAGACAACACTACAATTTACTCCTGCCTCAAAAACAAATCTAGTGTCGGCGACAAAACTAACCTGGCCGCTCGTCTTGAAATGGACCTCCAATCGGTTGTTAACTGGGGCAAGAATTGGCTGGTCAACTTTAACGCCTCAAAAACTAAATTACTCTCCATTAACCAACATAGAGATCCTTCCCTGCCCCCCCCTTAAAATGTCTGATAGTCAACTTCTTGAGAGTAACTCCCTGCGTCTGCTCGGTCTCACGCTGACTGCTGACCTGAGATGGAACAAATACATTGAGTCAAATACTTCTTCCACCGCGAAGAAATTTGGCTCTCTGTGCCGCGCCAGGAAAATTTTCTCCCCGGAATCTATACTTCAAATATACAAAACAACCATTCGCCCTTGCATGGAGTATTGCTGCTATATATGGTCTGGGGCACCTTCTGTTTACCTCGGAGTTCTTGACAAGATCCAGAGACGGATATGTAATATAATTGGCACTGATCTGGCGTCTCGTCTACAGTCACTCTCTCACAGACGCGACGTCGCCTCTCTCTGTCTTTTCTACAAATACTTTCATGGTAATTGCTCCGATGAGCTGCTTTCACTGGTTCCCAGACTCCATGAATTCAAGCGCCCTACGAGGCTGGCATCGCTCCCACCCTTACACTATAGAAATTTTTTTTAAATGTAGCCGTCTCTTCTACTCCAATAGCTTCATACCTCGCACCTCTCGCCTGTGGAACACCCTTCCCAATTACTGTTTCCTGAAAGCTATAATCTCCAACTATCTAAATGTAATGTCAATCGACACCTCCAGTTACCTTGATCTACCCACTATCCTTCTCCTCATCCTTTCTTCTATCACTCCTATCTGCTCTCGCTCCAAATCTTCCGCAACCCCCTCCATCCTAGTGGCTTCACGCCTTGCTCAGGGGCGTAATGCTTATATATATATATATATATATATATATATATATATATATATATATATATATAATAATAATAATAATATTTAATAATTCGTATGAATAATTCCAAAGAGGATATAAATCCAAAGAGAGCTCAATGTAAGAACAGAGCAAAGGATATTAACATATTTTTCTAAAGTTTCCGCTTTCATCATTATATATATATATATATATATATATATATATATAGAGAGAGAGAGAGAGAGAGAGAGAGAGAATTCTGTCTTTCTTTTGACCCTCTCTCTCTTTTCCTTTCTATTTCTCATTATCTATTCCCTATCTTTCTCTACCATTTTTCCTGTCTCTAATTTCTTTATCTCTCTCTCTCTCTCTCTCTCTCTCTCTCTCTCTCTCTCTCGTCCTGTCTTTCCCTACCTCTCTTTAAATTTAGTCGAATTTTTATTATTTTTTATATGTCGAGATTATGGATAAATTTCAAACAAGGCTCTGCAATGTAATCGATCCTGACCTAGTATCTCAACTTCAGTCACTTTCTCACCGACGTGACGTGGCTTCCTTATATCTTTCCTTCAAATATTGTCATCGAAACTGATTTAATGAGCTTTTTTCTCCTTCGTGCCTTGACTGCATGAATTTGATTGGGGATATATTTTCAGCACGTAAGTGAAAGTAACGGATTCCAGTCGAATCCATTACATTCACTTACGTACTAATACCCTTGGGAAAGGTATGAATCCTCTTTTTCTTCCCCCAGTTATGGGCAAATAGCAGGACAGACTAGGTTGGATGGCAACTAGTCTACTGCAGAAAGAAATGGTAACGTACTGCGGGAAAAAATCTGCCTAGTCAGTCATGTATCGAAAGATACATGATCGCCTAAGCGTGTATCACGCATGCCACACAACTGAACTGTATTTATTTAAAAAAAAACATAAAATAAGGTATATTTTTGTAATGTTTAAAGTAAAAGATAAATTTTCAGTAACTACAGTGTATTTACTTTTATTTAAAAAAATTCAGCGCTTTACTATCCACATGAAAGAGTCTTATCTTTTATTTTATTTTTTACAGTAATTTTTACCCTGTACAAGGCCCGGGGGCTACTTGAGGTAGAAGGTTACGTTAAGAGGTAAGACAACGGTTATCTAGACATTGAACAGGTTAAGATTACAGTGATCTAGGCACCATCCTCTTGGGAGTCTGTTCCACAGAGCAATAGTTCGCAGGAAGAAGCTGTTCGAAGGAAACTTATTTCTCACCGATGGAATACAGAGGGAATGTGGGTGGTGTGCTACAATGTGCGTGGCATGGCGGGTTCAAGCCTTAAAGGTTAGACTTGGTGGAAAGAAGGAATGTAGTTCGTCTGAGTACTTTCCATGGAAGTAGCGGTAGAGCAATGAGTGATTCGCTAAAATCCCAAAATAATTCGTCACCCACAAGGAGGCTTTTGAACTCTATCGAGGCAGGCAGGGAAGACCGGGCAGCTCCCATCCAAATATGTCAATACTATACCATTTCCAGCCTGATCTGGCTCTTATATGGCTAGGTCCTGGAGCATCTTATCTGTATCTTTAGCGATGAATCTTATATAAGAGTTCCACTTGAGGTCGGGTGTGAATTTGAGGCCCGTTCATCGTAACTGGTAAGATAGGAGGTGGTGATGCTAGTTTGATTTTTGAGGCATTGTTTTGTGCCATGCATGATAAACGCGTAGGCGATCGTGTATCTTTCGAGAGAACCTGGTCCGTCCTGCTATTTACACATAACTGGGGGAAAAGAAGAGGATTCATACCTTTCCCAAGTAAGTAAGTGAATGTAATTCGAACTCGGCTCTTCGATTCCTCAGTCCGAGCGTGCCAGTTTGTTTTCTCTCCACTGACAAGTTAGTGTTAAATCGTTCCGATCAGCTGCCAATCTCATCAAGAGTTTTAGAGGTGCGCCCGTATATCGTCGTGTCATCGGCTTAGATGTTTACAAATGATGTGAGTATATATTCTTAGGCAGATCATTAATGTAAATCAGAAGGAAGTTTGCTCCGTAAAGTGACCCTGAGGTGGGGCGCCTGTGTTGAGCGCCAGGCCCTCGGAAGACTGACCGTTAATAACTACCTTCATGTTAGAAAGAATTTTATAATTGAGAAAATCCTCCAGTGGTTCCATAGCTAGAGGTCTTGTGTCGCAAACTTTTATGCCTCTCATTCTCAAAGATGTTCGAACTTGTTATTAATATTATAGAGGCATTTCTCCAAACCACTTTTTAGGAGTTGTTGTCATAATCCCAACGGCTTTTCTCAAGTTTCTCTCGGCTATGTTGAGCAAGATCTCTTATGTGATACACATGAGATTGTCTTCGTTATTTTTGATTGTCTATTTATGATGGCGTCTTCTCGAACAATGTCAGAATTGGTAATCCTCATTTTTTTGCTTATTCATTTCCGTTGCCTCACCACTGAGGCCACATACGTTTCTGTACTACCTTATACAAGGATTGAATTTACGACACCCAGAAAAGCAAAAAACATTGACATTTCTTCTTCTTCTTCTTCTTCTTCTTCTTCTTCTTCTTCTTCTTCTTCTTCTTCTTCTTCTTCTCTCACTCTCTCTCTACCGTTCTCTTTGTCTCTCTCTCTCTCTCTCTATCTATCTATCTATATATATATATATATATATATATATATATATATATATATATATATATATATTCGGGGTATAACAACAAAATTGTCTAAATCGTGTAACAGCATTCCATCCCACAAAAATGTTTAATATTGAAAAAAACCCACTAAACTAATTCAGTTTCTTTTTCCTACGTTTTCAGATAAGGCGGTTTGCCATCTTGACACCTTTCATCGTAAGAATCACTGAAAAACCTTTATTTAGCAAGAAAGAGAACAGGTTAAAATCGCTTTGTGTCAGCCCCACTATGTCTTCCCAACTGAGCAATGGTGAAAGGAAAAAGATTATTCAGGCCTTCAGTAATGGTACCAACATTCATCCTCTGGCTTCCATTCTCAAAATACATTCGAGAACCATCAAGAGAATGGTGAATAAGTTTAAAAAAAGGAAAAAGTAAAGAGGAAAAATAGATCAGGATATGACAACAGAAAGAGGGAATCATCATTTTAACTTAGAGTTAAATACAGTCTTAATGTTCAATGTAGTGTCCAATAGTGTTATAAAAACATTCAGTTACACGTAAAAATGGCTTGATAATGGCTAAAAGTATAGCTGAAAGCGTTTACAAATGCAGAAGTTTTGGGCAGTTTTTACAAATTTTTGTGTCCAGAAAAGAACAAGACAAAATAAATAAAAAGCTTAATCGCAATACCTTGTCAGTCGTCTTTAACGAAACATGTATAAGGATATCTACCAACTTCTCCACGCGGTCAGGTGTGGTACAAGGCCAAATGTAATGTGAGGTATCTGAACCAGTAGGCTCGGCCAAAAATTTCCCGTAGACCCTGTATAAAATGGGGTCGGGTAGCTGTTTCCCGAGACGAGCCTTTCGTCATAGCCTCGTCTGGGGACTCTCTCTGCTCGGAGGCATAGTGTTTGACCAGAACAGCTGGAGATGAATCTCCAACTGCAGACCAACGAAACATGTATAAGTATCAGACATTAACAATTTATACTGTAAAAATAGCTTTCTATTTTTATCGTCATTATATTCACATACACCCTTGTTTTTCCTTTTCTTCGTTTCTTTCTATTCTCGCCTTTTATTTCTGTTTCATTTACTCCTCTGCAGAAATGTTTTATTTCCTTTGTTCTTTTTTCTCCCACTTGCCTTCTTTTCATTTTTCTTTTTCCTTCTTCCCACCTCCTTTCTGCTTGTTTTTTGTACTTTAAAAAAATATTTGGGTCTATTTCTTTTTATCGGTTTCTTCCTTTTTCTTTTTTTAGTTCTTTTTCTGACACTTTTTCTCTTTTCTTTTTTTTTTAATTTTTCTCTTCCCGTCTTTTTCTTTCTTGTTCATTTTCTTTTATTTTCTTCTTTTTTCTTTCCCTTTCTTTTTTCTTTTTCTATCGCCTTTGTTCTTCATTTTTCTCTTGTTTCTTATCGTTTTTAGTTTTGCTTATTTTCCCATTTCATTATTCTTTTGTTTTTTTTCCTAATATTTTTATTCCCTTTCTTTCTTTTTTTTTTTTTTCATTTCTATCGCATCTATTTTTCCTTTCTTTTTTCTCTTTTATTTTCGTTTGGTTACTTTTTTCTTATCCATTCTTTATTCTTGACTTTCTTTTTTGCTATCATTTTTACTCTTGTTTCTTTCTTTTTTCTCTTTCTTTTGTTCTGCTTTTCTTTCTTATTCTTTTTCTTCGTTTTTCTTTATTTTTCTCTTTCCTTCTTTTCCTTTTCTTTTACTTTTTTCGCTTTCATCTTTCTTTTGTCTTTTTTCTTTCTTTTCTTTTCTCACATTTCTTTTACTTTTTTCACCGTTTCCGTCTTTCTTCTGTGTTTCTTTTTCTTACTCTTTCTTTCATATGCTTTCTTCTCACTTTCCCTTTCTTTTTTCGCTTCTGTTTTCTTTCTTTCCCCAGCCAACTGATTTTTTTCTTTCTTTTCCAACACTTCGCCACTATGCTTCTCCTTCATCATGCCTTCCACACCCTGCTTCAACGATGGAAACACACTCTTCTCATAGTGTAGTAATTTAATTGCTTGATACTGTTCATAGTTTTATTCGCCATTCGAAGCAGACAATCTATACATCTCCAGGATTTTTACGCAGCTGTTTAGGACCCGAAAGATCTTAAGGCCGCCATGTTTAAGTACAACAGAAAGAAAGTCAAACTTAAAAAGAAAAAAATAAGCGAATGCTCTTTATATAGAAATATTCCAAATTGCACTGAGGGTTAAAAGAATGGCATAAAACCATTTTTTATCATTATTATGACTAAGCCACAAATCTCTTAATTCTTTGTTTTCAATTTCTCTCCTGACATCATGGCTGTTTTTCTCACGCTTAAAGGCCAAGAGTCGTGCGTAGCACAATTAAAGTAGTGCACCCTTATCCACGGGAGAAAATTTCTGAGACACTCAGTTGTTACCTGACACCGCGGATACTAGTGAACAAACTTTAATATTATGCTTTTTTATAGAAGTGTCAAAGACTAGAGAAAAAAAATATATATAGTGGGGCAGATTAAGTCAGTATCACACAAGAATCTTTCACTTGGTGGTACAAGCTTCAAATTTGGTGTACATATGCTCCTGGATCCATTCTCTTAGAAAAGTATGTTACATACTTTGAAAATGAAAATGGCCGCTATTTCTCAAGATGGTTATCTCATAAAATAGGTAAAAGGTTTTTCAGTGCTAAAAGTCTATAAATAGGAATATGCTATTGACCCAAATGTTAAAGAGATTGTATTTAGACTGGGGAAATATATTTTGGCACAAACATTTGAAAATGTCATTAGTTTTCAAGATGGCGGCCATTGCATGATTTAAAATTAGTACTTTTGTAGCTGTCTTACAGCATTATCACAGACAATGCTTGGCAAAATCACAGACAATGCGGTCAAGCTCCATTACATTATGATAGTAAGAGTGATGTTGAAGCACAACCAAGGTACACTGGTGATATCACTGCTGTGAGACTCAGCATGGGGTTCAGTATCGGCTTATAGTGTACTACTTGTAGCTGGATTTTACTAACCTAAACTCTAGTTTATCGTATAATTGAGTGTCCAAAATGCTATCTAATAAACCCCTGTATATATTTCAGCTAGAAGTATAGCTAGTTGTAGTATTACATTTATTAGATAGCCGTGCCTGAATTGACAGGATGTCCTATCGTTGGAGAGCCGAGCCAAGGGTAACGAGGCTTCAGTTACCCGGAAGGTGTACAGATCGCACGGGACTGAAATGACACTGGATGAACAATCAGGCTAGATGTAGGGCATTTGTATGTATGAACCTAGTTGTATTCCATATCTCAATGTGCTTATGTATTTTGTACGGTTAGGTGGTAAAAGGATAAACTCTCGGCCTTAAACTGTTCAATATGTCCACTAATAATCCGTTGAGGTCTACTCCTAAAAACTGATTGGAGGAAATGTTGCATCTGTCAGACTGATAAAAAGTTGAATCTTCCCCAACTCGTTATGAGTGTAGTTCTAATGGTTATTCCATGATAGCAAAATAAAACTACCACAATTTCAGGGAATCCACCAGCTAGCGATCAGGTTAGGCCCATCCAGATTGGATGGAGGAAGTGGTATTTAGTATACACTGAGGCGAAAGTATCACCAAAATTGTCGCAAAATTACATCCAACAGCAAGGAGGTTTTGAGGAGCTGGAACCACCTGATAATTGCTAGTGTTCCCAGGTCCACCCTGACCCAGCATGGTAGTACCGGTTAGGGTCCCAGCTATGGGCAAATAATTAACCTCCCAAAAGGGGTCAAAACACAATGAAAGTATAAAAATATATTTTAGTACCAGCAATACATTTTTGAAGGAAAAAATATTACTAGCAATATATTTTGGGGAAAAATATTACCAGAAATACTTTTTAGAAAAAATATGACCAGCAATAAAAATCTTGTCCGCATTAAATAACCCATTGAGATTGATATGCCAAAAACCAAACCAAACCAAGATGAACGGATGTCCCATCGAGGAGGCACCGTACCTTGAGAGACTATTGGGCCTCAAACTCACACGTGACCTCAAGTGAAACTAGTGCATACGACCCATCGCTAAAGATGCAGGTAAAACGATTGGCTCTTTGTACAACTCCAGTAATTACCTGACTCCTCATGCTATCTTCTACCTTTACAAGAGCTAGATCAGACGGAAAATATTATACTATTGTCCCATTTGGAAGGGAGCTTAAAAACGTCTATATTTTATTTACTTTTCGTTCTTTCATGTGCTTGTGGGTGATAAATTGTTTTCCAGGCTCCAAACTCTCTCTCACAGACAGGATGTTGCAAGTCACTCATTGCTCTACCGCTACTTCCATGAAAAGTGCTCGGACGAACTACATTCCTTGCTTCCGCCAGGTCGAACCTTTAAGGCTTGAACCCGCCATGCCACGCAAACCACCCACATTCCCTCTGTATTCCATCGGTGAGCAGTAAGTACCTCTCGAACAGCTTCTTCCCGCGAGTCACTGATCTGTGAAACAGACTCCCAAGAGGATGGTTCCTAGATCGCTGCAATCTTAACCTGTTCAATGTCTAGATAAATAGAAAAATCTGCCTCGTCAGTCATGTATCGAAAGATACATGATCGACTATGCGGGTATCACGCATGGGCACACAACTGACTGACTATATTCAATGCCTCAAAAACCAAACTAGTATCACCACCGATCGGACCACGAACTACCACCAATCACGATGAACGGATGTCCCCTCGGGGAGTCATCAAGCCTTGAGGGAGTACTGGGCCTCAAACTCACACCCAACCTCAAGTGGAACTCTTATATAGAACAGGGTAAAAATTACTGTAAAAAATAAAATAAAAGATAGGGTAAAACTATTTCATGTGGATAGTTAAGAGCTGATTTAAAAAAAAAATAAAAACAAATACACTGTAATTACTGAAATTTTAACTTTTACTTTAAACACTACAAAAATATAACTCATTTTATGGTTTTTTCAATAAATACAAGTTGGCCACAAAACTTTTTGTCTGTTGTGTACATGTTAGCATCGTTGTGTATTAATCTAAATTTTTCATTGTATGTGTTTCTGTTCATGATGACAATTCCGGCCCTTTTTTCTGAGGCGTTGATGAAAACTTCCTTATTTTCGTTAGGTTTCCTAATGTATTTAAGTGTCCAAATTGATTTAATTTGATTTGTTTTTTAACCCACCATGAACATACATTGTAAAAAACCCATCCACATTCCCTCTGTGTTCCATTGCTGAGAAGTAAGTTCCACTCAAACAGCTTCTTCCTTCCAACCACTGCCCTGTGAACAAACTCCCAAGAAAATATCTCCCCGATCACGCCAATCTTCACCTGTTCAAGTCTAGAGTTATCTGCCCTTTATATCCATATAAACTCTCCCTTATCGTAACCTTCTACATCGAGTGCCCCCCGGTCCTTGTACAGGATAAAAATTACTGTAAAAAATAAAATAAAAGATAAGACTCTTTCATGTGGATAGTAAAGCGCTGATTTTTTTAAAATAAAAGTAAATACATTGTAGTTACTGAAAATTTATCTTTTACTTTAAACATTACAAAAATATACCTTATTTTATGGTGTTTTAAATAAATACAGTTCAGTTGCCATGCGTGATACACGCTTAGGCGATCATGTATCTTTCGATACATGACTGACTAGGCAGATTTTTTTTCCCGCAGTACGTTACCATTTCTTTTTGCAGTAGACCAGTTGCCATCCAAGACTATAGAACCCGGTCTGTCCTGCTATTTACCCATAACTGGGGGGGGGGGAAGAAGAGGATTCACACCTTTCCCAAGGTTATTAGCACGTAAGTGAAAGTAACGGATTCGACGGGAATTCGAACTCGGTTCTACCTTTCCACAACCCGAGACGCTATCCATTACACCACTTTTGGCCGCTTTGTTTGTCGTGTATGTGTTAGAATCGTTGAGTAGTAATCTAAATTTTCCATTGTATGTGTTTCTGTTCATGATAACGATTCCGGCCCCTTTTTCTGAGGAGGTGTTGGAAATTTTCTTTACTTTTCGTTAGGTTTTCTACTACTTTTAAGTGTCCAGGTTGATTTGATATGAGTTGTCTGTTTAATGACACATCAACTGGTTATGGGTGATTTAATGCCGAAATTGAATTTTCTTGGGCGCTTTGAAGTAATAAAGATATGATATCTGTTATACTGCTTTCACTATTGAATACATGGTAGATGCTAGACTCAGCTTCTGTGCAGATCCATGTTTGTGGACACATCATTACTAGAGTCGGTGATATGTGTGTTATGTTGTAGTTTTGTTGAAGTTATATTTTGGGATACAGTTTGATTTCTTTAACAAATTGTAGGATATTATATGGAGTAATGTCATGAAAGACTTCTTTTTTTTTGTTTTGTTAGTTGATTTTGTTTAGCGGCATATCAATCTCTGTGGGTTATTTAATGACGAAATCTAAATATTTTGTTCGTAATTTTATGGCTTCAATTACAGATAAAATGTATTGTTGGTAATTCTAATAAAAATATTATTGCTGGTATTTTTATTATAAAAATGTATTTTTTTTAATTTCACTGTTTTGTTTTTGTATTGGGGTTCACTTTTTGCCAAAGCTGGGGCCCTAACTGGGGCTACAAGCCCAAGCCAGAGTGGACCCGAGAACAATAGCAATTAAAAGGTGGTTCTACGCTCCTCAACACCGCCAATCTCTCGATCAAAGAATTTTGCCTCCGTTGGTAGTTTATCGTCATACCCAAAGTGTCCAAATGATTGTGGTCTTTCGTTATTTAAAAAAATTAATAAATCAACGAGAAAATTAATTAGTAATGTGGACAAACCGTGGTATAAATTAATAGAATTATTTTTTTTCTTTTGAGATATGTCCATTCAAGACGTTGATGATCATAACTCTCCG